TGGATTGGCCAAGTGTCAGTATCGATGGACTCAAGGGTGGAAACAGTAGTGAGGTTGGCCCGGGATCGGGCAGTGTTTCGTTCTGCTGTGCATAAGGTCGCTATGAGTCGGTACCGACTCGATGGCACCTAACAACAACAACACCTCCGCTTTACAAGCATAATGTCCTTCTGCAGGGATTGATCCCTCCTTTTTAACATGTCTGAAGTATGAGAGGTGAAGTCTCGCCATCTTTGCCTCCAGGGAGCATTCTAGCTGTACCTCTTCCAACACAGACCTTCTTCTGGCAGTCCATGGTACTTCCAGTATTCTTCTCCAACACCATTAACTCAAATGCATCAATTCTTCTACAGTCTTTGGTACGAAGACAGACAACTTTATGAATAGTACTAGAACATTGACAGACACAGCACCTTAAGGGTCAGGAATAGGAGACACAATTCAATTCCTACCATAACCTTATCAGGGTTTTTTTTTCCCTTTTCCTTTTTCTTTGTTTGATGTTGATGCCCTATAGATTCCTTCCAAAAAAGAGGCCGTTAACCCACTTGGGAACAATCTCACTATTAACTGATCACACTGGAATCCTTGGGGTCCAGCAACCGGCAGTTCAGAGAGTGGCTGCCATTAAGAGTGTGTGGACTTTCGCTGCCACCACTTCAGATCAGGAAAAAAACAATAAAACAAAAAAGTGTTTGCATGTCCAGTCTCTCAGACCCAAAGGACAATGTCAGGAAGTCTGGTAAAAGCTGTTTGGTTTAGAACTTATGTAAGAAATGGGAATTTTAAACTTTCTTACAAAATCCACAAATGGCCTATTATGGTTGAGCCAATGGCATAATGCATTCCATGAAAAACAATTGACCTGATAATTTAATATTTTATGCTCTTTATCCCTAAATGCTAAACAATAGACGATATTCTTTTACAGGCATTATTACATGAAGTAAGTTGCTTTTAAAAAGAAAAAACAAATTGCTGTATTATTTACATTTATTCTTCAGGGTTACACTGAGGTTACCTATTGGAAATTTTTTTTTTTTACTTTTTAGTGTGATTTGAGTGAAAGTTTACAGAGCAAATTGTTTTTTTCATTCAACAATTCATACACATTTGTTTCGTGACATTGCAATACTGGGATATTTTTGTTTGTATTTTGCTTTCTTCAAGAAAAACATTCATATTTCAATCCTGTAAATGAAGCATTGTGAAATTTCAAATTAACAAATTAAATTCTAATCATCAGGCTAATGTCATGAAGATTTATAGTCTCATTTATTGTGTGCATAGAAACATCTTAGAAAGTTCACTTGCATCAAACAGCTTTCATCTAGATGCAGTTGTCAGGTGCCAT